GGGCTGTGTGTGTGTGTGTGTGTTTGTCTCCAGGGATTAAAAAAAAAAAAAAAAACATTAGGGATTTATTATAGAGCTGTACGCTTCTCTTTAAAAATCAGCATCATGGTTGCATGCAGGATCCATCAAATTTGGGCTAATGAAAACACTGTGCTGTGCACGGACACCTCACGACCATCATTTTTCAACTCTTTGCCTTTTTAGTCGTTTTAACTGATGAAGGTTCTTCCGCAGCTTCCCAGATGGGTTTGGACTGCATCATAACTTCAGCAGCATTTTCGTTTAGCGCAAAACCTTTACGTTTTATTCGAGACGCTATTCAAAAATACAAAATAATTTTTAAAAAATTGAGCACACTCAAGCACTTCTCATATAACATGTGGTATGTGGTTTCATCGCACTCCATTTGGACCTCAGGTCATGTTGGTGTTTGCAATATGAACACAGAATAGTGCTGATACGCTCTCTGTAGTAAATATTTTACGTGAACAGTAAATATCTTTGCCCCTTCATCTTTTCGAACTGCGACTCGGAGGAAAGCGCTATCCGCCCTCTTCCTCATACATGAGCCCACGGTTAGCTAGAGTCACACGAGCTATGTTTCCATTCATGTATTTTATGAGAATTCTGGACTATTGCATAAAAAAAGGCTGGATGCAAACACCAGATGCGAATAAAATCTTAAAAATGCGCATAAAATACATATGTGCTCAATTGAGGCACATGCTTTTTTTTCATTCGATGAATGTGACATGTATAAACTACAGATGGAAACTCATTTACCGGATAAACTCTTATACAGCGCAATAGCAATGTGTTTTTCTGTGGGAAATGGGGTGTGCGTGGATCGGCATATCCGGACTAACCTGCGGATCGCGTTGCACGGCATCTCAAATGTTGTGATTCTGAAATATGCCTGCGATTAGAAAGTCGAAATCGTTTGGTATAATAACCTCCCAGGACTGTCATGATAGTCTTTCCCGGCCGCGTCCGTTGCAGGAGCAGCTGAGAAGGGTCTGTTGTCATTATGTAGTATAAGAGCGGCCTCTAGAGGCGAAATAGAAAGTCAAACTGACAAATTTTGTTGTGTTATTTGAAGTGTTTTTTTATTTTTATTTTTTATTTTGCATGTCTCCATCTCAATCTGTTACTTGTTGGTTCAGTTTGGAGGTATATTTTATTTACTTTAATATTTATTTAGTTAATATACAGTGGTGTGAAAAAGTGTTTGCCCCCTTCCTCATTTCCTGTTCCTTTGCATGTTTGTCACACTTAAGTGTTTCGGAACATCAAACCAATTTAAACAATAGTCAAGGACAACACAAGTAAACACAAAATGCAATTTGTAAATGAAGGTGTTTATTATTAAAGGTGAAAAAAAATCCAAACCATCATGGCCCTGTGTGAAAAAGTGATTGCCCCCCTTGTTAAAACATACTATAACTGTGGTTGTCCACACCTGAGTTCAATTTCTCTAGCCACACCCAGGCCTGATTATTGCCACACCTGTTCACAATCAAGGCATCACTTAAATAGGAGCTGCTTGACACAGTAAGGTCCACCAGAAGATCCTTAAAAGCTACACATTATGCCGAGACCCAAAGAAATTCAGGAACAATTGAGAAAGAAAGTAATTGAGATCTATCAGTCTGGAAAGGGTTATAAAAGCCATTTCCAAAGCTTTGGGAATCCAGCGAACCACAGTGAGAGCCATTATCCACAAATGGCGAAGACATGGAACAGTGGTGAACCTTCCCAGGAGTGGCCGGCCCCCAAAATTACCCCAACAGCGCCGCGACGACTCATCCAAGAGGTCACAAAAGACCCCACAACAACGTCCAAAGAACTGCAGGCCTCACTTGCCTCAGTTAAGGTCAGCGTTCATGCCTCCACCATCAGGAAAAGACTGGGCAAAAATGGCCTGCATGGCAGAGTTCCAAGGAGAAAACCACTGCTGAGCAAAAAGAACATCAAAGCTCGTCTCAATTTCTCCACAACACATCTTGATGATCCCCAAGACTTTTGGGACAACATTCTGTGGACCGATGAGACAAAAGTGGAACTCTTTGGAAGGTGTGTGTCCAAGTATATCTGGCGTAGAAGGAACACTGCATTTCATAAAAAGAACATTATACCAACAGTAAAATATGGTGGTGGTAGTGTGATGGTCTGGGGCTGTTTTGCTGCTTCAGGACCTGGAAGACTTGCCGTGATAAAAGGAACTATGAATTCTGCTGTCTACCAAGAGATCCTGAAGGAGAATGTCCGACCATCTGTCGTGGTACTCAAGCTGAAACGAACTTGGGTTCTGCAGCAGGACAATGATCCTAAACACACCAGCAAGTCCACCACCGAATGGCTGAAGAAAAACAAAATGAAGACTTTGGAGTGGCCTAGCCAAAGTCCTGACCTGAATCCTATTGAGATGTTGTGGTATGACCTTAAAAAGGCCGTTCATGCTCGAAAACCCTCTAATATAACTGAATTAGGACAATTCTGCAAAGATGAGTTTGCCAAAATTCCTCCAGACGCTGTAAAAGCCTCATTGCACGTTATCGCAAACGCTTGGTTGCAGTTGTTGCTGCTAAGGGTGGCCCAACCAGTTATTAGGTTTAGGGGGCAATCACTTTTTCACACAGGGCCATGATGGTTTGGATTTTTTTTCAGCTTTAATAATAAACACCTTCATTTACAAATTGCATTTTGTGTTTACTTGTGTTGTCCTTGACTATTGTTTAAATTGGTTTGATGTTCCGAAACACTTAAGTGTGACAAACATGCAAAGGAACAGGAAATGAGGAAGGGGGCAAACACTTTTTCACACCACTGTATATTAATATTTATATATTAATTTCATTCCAGTACATTTTCTGGTACAGTCAGTACTGTTTATTTTTGTAATAAAGTTCAGCAGAATTTTACATTGAGTGTTAAGTTTTCATTCAGTATCAGTTTTAAAAACTGCCCAACTTGGTTATCGGTATCAGTAAATTATCGGATAGTATAGTAAATTATCACCTTGGATGGAAACGGTGCTTTGTCCACCAATCTTTTATGCGATGTTCTGATTTTTCACATAAGTTCAATTAGCAGCTTGGATGGAAACATGGACACGGAGAGAGTAAGAATCCGAACTCGTGATCTGACATTAGAGCTTTTCTGTTGCGCAGCTCAGAAAAGAGCAGCACTAACAGATGCACTGCTTACTCTCTACACGTTTTGGCCTACTCACTTATTTTTCCCAGCAGGAATACAACTCACATATACAACGTGTTGTTTTTCCTCACAGCCACCTATGATTGGATGACTTCACACAGATAAATACAGCTCTTAATGTGTACATGGCTACTGATCTAACATCATTCCTTCTCTGATTCACTCACACAGCCTAGAGAAGCACAGGGCTGTCTACTCAATATGCTCAGTATGCATATACACACACACACACACACACACACACACACACACACACACACAGCTCATCTTCGTCACACCTCACACATTCATGCGGTCTCACTTGTCTCTCTCAGTATGAGACACACTTTTTACATACGCTCCTCATGTTGCTGTGCTCCTCATGCACAAAATTCAGACATATTTTCTATCTCCCCATCAAGCACACACCAACACATTCTTTCCCAGTTACAAATGGGCCACCTGGGCAGAGAAGTTGGACCACCTCAGGGTTCTCCACCCAGAGCCTGTCTGTCATAGGGAACTCCCACTGTTGCAGGCACCGCAGGAGATCCAGGGATACGGCACAGGTGCTGTCAAACCCTACACTCCAGGCCTTCATGATCTCATTTGTCTCTTTGACAGAGCGTACCTGCCCAAGGCGATGCATGCGGTGGAGGGGTGGGTTCTACTCCTACGGGAAGATATGATTGGTTACTCAGAAATGCCGGTCACCATTAAGAGGGTTGCCATGACGATGGTAGACCAGCATTGTTCCTGTCGATGGCAGTGCACTCTTCTTTCTCCATTTTCTCCAGCAGACCCATGAACACAGGTCATCAAGCCTAGAACTTCATCTTTTTTGCCATCACTGTTCCACTGTATGTTGTCTCTTAATTGATGGTTCTGCCCCAGACATCACCCCACGTTTGCTTGAGTGTTAAGACCACAAGGGTTAGGAAAAAACGTTTTTAAATTTTTTTTTTGGAGCCAGCACGCGCTCTTGCATTTAATCTGACTTGATGGGCAGTGCACGGTGTTGCAGCGAGCTGTAGATTGGCTTGTAACAGAGATTGCATGCTCTAGCATGCGTGTACTTCCCTTGTTGAACACGATTGTGGGTTTTAAAAATTCTATTTAAAGAAAAGACATTTCAGTGTAGACTAGCTTCACATAAAAGTATCTACTAAGGCATTTTTGTCAGGGCTATTTTAATAACACCGCCATAATAACTGGTTTTGGTTTTAAAGGAAAATATCCAACCCTGAAACACATTCAGTATATTTACATTGAAAGCTGTATGGTGTACTTGGTGAGCCTTGGTGCTCATTTGTTGGTAGGTGGTGTATTTTTATTCTCCTTTGTGAGACGTTAATGTTGTAACTCATGGTGACATGGCTAGCACAGTTACACAAAAAACAACAACACAAGTGATAACAATCTGTATTTACTGTTCGTAAAAACTCGTAAAAACCTCGTAAAAACCAACAGAGCAAGAGCTTCTTTTCTCACTCGCCATTTTTCAGCGACGTTCAAGCTCATATCAATGAGAAATCCATAGTAGAGGTAGTGGAGAAGTTCCAGAATGTACTGGTGCTACGTCATGACAGACTTGGCAATGGTGTCTGTGGTGGTATTCGCATGGAAGTTGATGCTTTAGAACTTCTGCGAGAACTGGACGGACTAAAGGATTAAAACGCTGTTGCAGCAGTCTCTTTAGATCGAGATGAATTCTCATTGGTGCCACTATCAGCGGGTAGTCAAGCGGCATTGAGGGTATTTTAGGAAACCGTTAACCAAAGTGAAAATATGATGAAATGATGGGGGCAGTGGTGGCTTGGTGGTTAACGCTCTTGGTTGCTGATCAGAAAGTCAGGGGTTCAAGCCCCAGTACTGCAAAGCTGCCACTGTTGGGCCCTTGAACCAGGCTTCCTGACATGCTGGGGTATGCGAAGAGAAGAATTTCACTGTGCTGTAATGTATATGTGATCAATAAAGACTCGTAATCATCATTATCATAATATACTAATTATACATATTGCTTTGTAAGTTGTTCAGGGTGGATTTTTTCCTTCAAGCCAGGACCATTCCACCTCATGGGCAAAACTGAAGCAGTGCAGGCTGACGGCTCCAAGCTATTAGTTCAGCTAGAATTCACAAGCCTCATTACGTGAATGTCCCATTCCTTGTTGTGGTCAAAATCCCATGTAATTTTGTTATCTGAAGCAGTTACACAGACACAAAACGAACACGATTTCATGCTTTTAAAGGTAAGTAATAGTGGAAATCCTGAGCAATTCTCATTTTTCTTAATGCACTAAAAACAGCGCTAATAACAACCTGCTGATCACAGACTGCTCAAGAAGGTACATAATGTTGTGTTCCAACTTCCAAAGAAAGGGTAAGACATGAGAAGTATTTGAAAGGCTGTAATGTAGCAATCAAACATTTACAGCAATCAGGTCAATTAGTTGGAAGAGAATTGAATGGATGTCTGAGCTGAACGCAGTATTAGATGTTTTGTTCGGTGTATTGTCACCTGGAATGTCCTGCAGCGAGGCGAGGGCGGAGTAGAGATTTCGCTGATGATCTCGTCTTCCCTGAAGAGGAAACTCAAGGAGATTAATTGGATTCTGGACTATTATTTATCATCATTATCTTCTCTTTTCTTATTGCAGCTTTGCCCGTGTCCAAATTAGTGCAGGTGAGGGCTGTTTGGCTGGGATGTTCAGTGTTTTTGTGGCTTTCCCCCCTCCTTGTCAGAAGGGCGAGCTAATAGCATCTAAAATCAATTTCCTGCTCGGCTCTTGAGCATGACCGTGAGGGTTTGTCTTCTAGGCTGCACTGGCCTTTTTCCACTTATGCAAAGGGATGCGTGTGAAATGTTGTTTAGGGAGGATTAAATGGAGTATATTCTGGCCAGGGCTGAAGTAAAGTTGCAGAAGCTCCAGTTGAAAGAAAGTGAATGTTTTTTGCTGAGGTAAGGGGGGTGGGGACTGAGTCACACACTCGCACTCATTCACACACGGATTTAAGACTGAACCATGACGCTCTTAGTTTAATGCGATGCAAAATAAACAGGAAATAAAAAGTGGCGAGACCTCAGATGACCCGTCTTAACTTTCAAACTTACAAAAATGATCTGCGCTTGCATGGAATATCATTGAGGCCTTATCTTTTATTTGATTAATGGGAAAAGTCCCGCCCCGTATTCACTCAATGCTTCTTCAATAGCACTATTGTGATGTGACTTCCCCCTCCTGCTGCTCGTGAAGAGCGCGGAGAAAATCTCTCCATGGTAACCCTTGAGGCCCTGGGGTGTCCCCCGAACACCCCCAACCCACAAGATCATACTCGCACTGTTAGTGTTGAAAGTGTTGCTTCCCTCATTGTGAATGGTGCTGGAGTGAAAAGGCTGAAATGGGTCCTCTTCACTGTCATGCTGAATTAGTCTACTTTAACTCAAAGTCTTATAACATTCACGCTGCACAAGCTGGTCAGAAGAGCTGTATTGGTGTTAAAGAACCCACCTGTTTGATCCGGTTTAAACGATAAAGCATTTCAGCAGCTGCCCCACGCTTGATCTTTAAGCATAACCCTACATTCACATTAGCAAGTGACAGGCAATCACTGGTTTTCTAGGGAGCTGTGATTTCAGTGACAAAGCGACAGCACAACAAGCAACATTTAAATCGAGGTTTTCTGAATTCCATGCAAATTAATTATAATGATGCAGTAAAGCTCGTTGCCAAACAACTGGCTCGAATTATTTCGTTGGTTCTTCATTTTTTTCCACAAAAATGGAGGAAAAGCTTGGAAACATGGTTTCATCTTATCCTGTCATATACGACCTCTCGTTAAAGTTGTTTATAGACATTATGAGGAACAATTAAGCTTGGAAGGGAATACCAGGTATCTTGGATACCTCTGGTGAGTGTACGTACAGTAGTAGATTTAGCTTGCTTCACTAATCTGCCAACAAACCTAACACGTAAATCAGACGTCTAGATTTCACACTGATTAGTGTGTTGTTTAATTTGTGTTAAATTAGTTGGCTTTAGTAGCTACACTACACATGGCCATCACAGTTATATGAGCTTGTTGGAGATCCCATTCCAATATGGAGTTGCTGCTATAACAGCTTCCACTCTTTTGGTCTGGCTTTCTACAAGATTTTGGAGTGTGTCTGTGGGAAATTGTGCCCATTCAGTCAAAAGAGCATTCATGAGGTCAGGCAGTGATGTTGGATGAGAAGGCCTGGCTCGCACTTGAGGTTCCAGTTCATCCCAAAGGTGTTCACTGAGGCCATTCGAGTTCTTGCACTCCAAACTTGGCAAACCATGTCTTCATGGAGCTTGCTTTGTTCACAGGGGCATTGTGCTGGAACAGGAATACAGGGCCCCAAATTTAGAAGCATATAATTACAGTGGGGGAAATAAGCATTGGATGTGTCAAAAAAAAAATTTCAGTAAATATATTTCCACTGAGGTTATTCACATGAAATTTTCACCAGACTTCAGTGTTAACTCATGAAATCCAGAAATATAAAGAATTCACAACATTATCGTCCATAAATAGTTATGTGTAATAAAGAGGAATGACAGGAAAAAAGTATTGAATACGCTAACTGAAATGTATTTAGAACTTAGTGAAGAACCCTTTGTTTGTAATGACAGCTTCAAGACGATTCCTGTATGAAGAATTTAATTGGCTGCAGTATTCAATTGGGATTTTGGTCCATTCTTCTAAACCTATTGTTTTTAAATCTTGTCCAAATGGATTCAAGTCAGGTGATTTAATGGGTCATTCGAACACCTTTATTTCTTTTCTCTGAAACCAATTGAGAGTTTCCTTTGCTGTATGCTTTGGATCAATGTCCTGCTAGAAGGTCCACCCACGTCTCGTCTTCATCGTCCTGGTGGACGGCAGCAGATTCTTCTCAAGAATCTCCCTTTAAAAGGCTCCATTCATCGTTCCTTCAATTATCTGAAGCCTTCAAGTACCGTGCGATGAAAAACAGCCCCACACCATGATGCTTCCACCTCCAGACTTCACTGTTGGTGTAGTATTTTTAGGATGATGTGCAGTGCCATTTCTTTTCCAAACATGGTGTGTAGTATGACAGCCAAAAAGGTTCCATTTTGCTCTTGTCTGACCAGACTACACTCTCCCAGTATTTTATAGGCTTATTAATAAAGTCTTGCAGGGTGAGCGTGAGCAGTGAAGTGCATTGCCTATTGTTTTCTCTGTGACGATGGTACCTGCTGCCTCCAATTGTTTCTAGAGCTCTTTCCATGTGGTCCTTGGCTCTTGGGATACTCTTCTGACTATTCTTATGACTCCCTGGTCAGAAAACTTGTGAAGAGCTCCTGTGCATGGCCAGTTGATGACGGAGTGATGCTTCCACTTGTGGATAATGGCCCCAAAGGTGGAAGATTAAGAAGTTTTAAAATACGTCTGTATCTGATTCCATCAATATGTTTCACAACAATAAGGTTGCAAAGGTCTTGGGAGATCTCTTTGCTTTAACCCATCATGAGATGTTTCTTGTGTGACACCTTGGTAATGAAAAGCCTTTTTATTGACCACCAGTTTACTAACCCAGCTGATATTAATTTGCACAGATACGGGGTATAACTACTTACGGATTTCAGGTGGTTCCTTGCCTTACCTTGCCTTGCAGTACTGGTTTTTCTTTGTGTGTTTTTTTCCAATACTTTTTTTCCTGTGTCATTCCATGTTAATACTAAGGTCTGGTGAAAATTTCATGTGAATAGCCTCATTGGAAATATGTTTACTGAAAAGAAATGTTGATACACACAATTCTTATTTCCCCAACTGTTTCTAAAATGTCTCCGTATGCTGTAGCATTAACATTTCCCTCAACTGGATCTAATGGGCTCAAACCCTAAAAAACAACCCCAGCCCATTATCTCTTCTTCACCAAACTTTACAGTTGACACTAAGCATTCGGGTAGGTAGCGTTCCCCTAGCATCTGCCAAACCTCCAAGCCCTTATACCACTCCAGCCAACGTTTGGCCGGGCCATGGAAACTCATTTCATGAAGCTCCAAATGCACAGTCCTTATACTGATATTGTTTCCAGAGGCAGTTTTGAGCTCTGTAGTGAGTGATACAGCGGAGGACAGGCTAACAGATTCTACAGTTTGTCTATGGAGATTGCATGGCCATGTACCATGATTTTATGCATCTGTTAGCTGTGGGTGATGCACATGAACCCAATAACTAGGAGGAGTCTCCACATACTTTTGTCCATATTGTGTGTATACAACTACTACTGTTTCTCATCGGAGCTATAAAAAAAATAAAATAAAGCTGGACAGTGCATGTCCACAAGCAACAAGACTTTCATCTGGTACATCCCCACAAGAGACAAACTACAAGTGACATGAGTGACTTGTTGCTTGCTAGTGTGAATATAGGATCAGGCTACACAGATTTGTCAGTCCCTCCAGGATTTAGCTTTTTTGCTATCACAGAAATGAACAAGCAAGCGTCACAATATTCCGAGGCGCTTACAATTATTCAAAGTTACCGCAGATTTTCCACAGATTTGGGAAAAGACACGTCATGTGACGTCAACACAACGGACATTTAGCGAAAGTCCTCTTTTGCTTCATGTGCGTCGAACATGAGTACAGCCAACAGACATCACTGTGAAATTTCGTGCAATTGCAGTTTTGACAATTCAAGAACTCGCTTGTGAACTTCACACTAATTTAGCATGTTTGCATTTATATTAACCTTATTTTGCTGATACTTTTACCCAAATTTACAGTTGAGACAGGATACAACTGGGCAATCAAGGGTTAAGCTTCTTTCTCAAGAACCTGACAGGGGCAGCTTGGTGGTGCTTGGATTTGAACTCCAATACGTA